GGGGGAGGGTGAGAAAAGAGAGAGAGAGAGAGAGAGGAGGAGAGAGAGAGAGAGAAGAGAGAGAGGAGGAGAGAGAGGAAGAGAAAGAGAAGAGAAGAGAGAGAGGGAGAGAGAGAGAGAGAGAGAGAGAGAGAGAAACTCTCTCTCTCTCTCTCAGAGAGAAGAGCATAGATATTATATAGAAGGGGGAGAAGAGAGAGAGGGGAAGGGAGAAAGAGAGAGAGAGAAGAGAAGAGAGAGAGGAGAGAGAGAGAGAGAGAGAGAGAATAGAGAGAGAGAGAGAGAGAGAGAGAGAGAGAGAGAGAGAGAGAGAGAGAGAGAGAAAGGAAACACAACGAAAATGTACAACACAGCAGAGGCACTCCCGTCTGTGGCCTTGGTTATTACAACACATATTCCACACTCCCCGGAATAATGGAGAGAAAGATGTACGCTAATGAATTCCTGGCAGGTTTTGCTCTCTCGACATGAAGCAGGAAGACAGGCAGGCAGGCAGGTAGATGGGTAGGTAGGTAGGTAGGTAGGTAGGGTAGGTAGGTAGGTAGGTAGTAGGTAAGGTAGGTAGGTAGGTAGGCAGGTAGGTAGGTTAATGATAGGTAGGTAGGTAGGCAGGCAGGTACGTTAATAATATATAGGTAGGTAGGTAGGTAGGTAGGTAAACAGGCAGGTAGGAACCAGGCAGGCAGGTAGGTAGGTAGGCAAGTAGTAGGTAATATAGGTAGGCAGTAGGTTAATAGGTAGGTAGGTAGGTAGACAGGCAGGTAGGAAGCAGGCAGGTAGATAGGTAGGTAGACAGTCAGACAGAGACAGACAGGCAGGCAGGTAGGCAGGCAGGTAGGTAGCAGACAAGCAGACAAGAAGGAAGCAGTTAATGAAAAGTTAGTTCTGCAAGCAAGATTGAATACAGTAATGTATGCTGGAGATTGCTGTATGCTGTATTATCTTTGAATAAGGTGTCAACGTGTGTCATCCCTGCTTCGTACCGTAGATATCAACGCAAAGAAAGAATTGATGTTTTGTTTGCAACGGTCCTTTTGGGGCATTTGGGCTTTGTGTTACCAAACTGCTGCAGAATAGCCTCGCGCATCCCATTTTCTTTGTATTTGTAGATGGGGGTGGGTGGGGGGGGGAGGGTGATATATATATATGTGTGTGTGTGTGTGTTTGTGTGTGTGTGAGTGTGCTACCACTATTACGATCACCATTACTAACTACAAATACTATCAATGCTATGAGTACTAATAGTAATGTTAATAAGGATAATTATGATGGTGATAACAACAATAGCAGTAATAATATTGATAATAATACCAGTGATAAAAATGATAATAATGAATATACATTTTATCGAACTCATAAGTTTCATTACTTTTTACTTTTACTTAAAAAAAAATATAAGAACCATAGGTTCCATCATTGGTGTACAATCGACTCTTTTCATATTATATGGCAATGACTACGCATATATACAATAATTTAAGCGGAAACTACGAAGTTAAAGATTTATCGTAAATGAAAATCTTATATTTCGTTACTGATGACTACAACCATTCATTCCTTTGCAAATCAACATCTTTAACGTGCCATGAATGTCAGGAGACAAGTAAAATAGCAAAATACCGAGGAATAATCAATTCTCAATAAATTTAGAGATGCTTTCAGTACAAGAGAAATGAAAACTCTACAAAACAGCCATCGAGTCAGCCAACCAGAACCAACAACCGATTTGATTCCGTTTTCAATTGATTGGCTTGTTGCTGCCTTCCTGAAGTAGCGGCCGACCCGGGTGACCTGTGACCTGGGGAGAGGGACAACAACAACAACCAACAACAACAATAATAATGATAATAATGATACTGCTACTACTAATAATAATGATCATGGTAATAACAATAATAATAAATAATGATGATAACAATAATAATAAATGATAATAACAATGACAGCAATAATAATGAATGATAATAACAATGACAACAATAATACTGAATAATAATAACAATGACAGCAATAATAATAAATAATATAAAAATGACAGCAATAATAATAATAATAACAACAATGATAATATTGATGATAATCGTAAAAACACTGATTATAATAATGATAATAACAGCAAATAGTAACATACCGGATATGCCAACATCAGCAGAGACCAGCAAACCTGAAGTTGTTTTGCACATACCTGAGAAAAAAAAAAAAAAATCGGTTATTGCTAATCAATATAGATATGATTCTTATATATCTATTTATTATTTAACTGATGATGGTGACGGTGGTGGAGGTGGGGGTGGTGATGATGATAATGATGATAATAATAATGATAATGATAATGATTATAACAATAATAGTAATAATGTTAATGATAATAATAATAATGATAATATTAAGGATAATGATAATAATGATAACAATGAAATTTAGAATGAACATGATAATAATACTTTTGAAAATGAAAATAATAACATCAATAACAAAAATAATGATGACAACAATAACAGCAACAATAACAATGCAAGAAATAACCTTGATAAACACCATAATGATACCAAGTCTGTGTTTATAACAATAACAATGACCATAAAATCTGACAAAGCTACAAACCACTAAGACAAGACCCCCCCCCCTCAACACAGACATAAAAAAAAAAAAAAAAAAACAAGCAAACAAACATTCTCATCGCTCTAAACAAACAATTTTTAATATCCATCAAATATATCCCTATTTAAAAGTTTATGGCAAATATCGCTGCAAGGGTATACTGCAGATCCTTGGCAAATTTCAGGATTTTTTGCACTGCTCAAGGCTGGTTGTGGTATAGTGTTGCCTTCATAAGCTGAGGGGCTTAAGCGAACCTGTTATGTGTATTTGCTTGAGTGTCTTTGTAATGCTTTTTTTGTCTTTGTTTGAGTGTTTGTTTGTTTCTTTGTGTGTATTTGTATGTTTGTTTGGTTGTTTGTGTGTTTTTGTTGTGTGTGCTTTTGTTCTCTATTAGGCGTGTGCGTGCGTGTGTGTGCGTGTGTGTCTGTGTGTGTGTGTGTGTGTGTGTGTGTGTGTGTGTGTGTGTGTTGTGTGTGTGTGTGTGTGGTGTGTGTGGTGTGTGTGTGTGTCTGTCTGTCTCTCTCTTCACACTCCCTCTTCCACCTTTCCTTCTGTTACTCCATTTCCTCCAGCCTCCCCTCCCCCCTTCATCTTCCTTCATCCTTTTCTCTTCCTCATAAAAGACCTCACAATCACGAAACCAGCACGCGAGGAGGAATAAAGAGAGGCAAGCAAAGAAATCTCCGCCTTTAAGAGGAGAGAGAGAGAGAGAGAGAGAGAGAGAGAGAGAGAGAGAGAGAGGAGAGAGAAGAGAGAAGAGAGAGAGAGAGAGAGAGAAGAGGGAGAGGGAGGGGAGAGGAGGGGGACAGGGAGGGAAGGGACGGAGGGAGAGAGAGAGAGAAAAGATAAAGGGGGGAGAGAAAGAGGAGAGAGAGATAAAAGATAAAGGGGGGGAAGACGGAAGGAGGAAGGAGAGAGTGAGAGTGAGAGAAAGAGAGAGAGAGAGAGGAGAAGATGAAGCAAGAAGAAAGAAAAAACGAGAAGAAAAACAAATGGAATAACAAGAAAAATAAGGAAAACAAGAAGACCAAGAAGTAAATAAAAACGGAGAAAAAAAAAATAAAGCCACGTCATAAATCGAAGGGAAATTTAGTTCAAAGCAAGATGAGTTTTGTTAGACAAGACTGAAGACACGAAGAGTCCGCCAGCACGTGCTTTTGGGTCGCGGGGAAGGTGCGTCGGAGGCGGTGTTGGGGGAGGTTGGGGGTGGGGTGTGGGAGGTTGGGGGGGAGGTGTTGGGGGAGGTTGGGGGGTGGGGGGGAGGAGGGGAGGGTGTTAGGGGTAGGGGGAGGAGGGGAGGGTGTTTGGGTAGGGGGAGAAGGGGGAGGGTGTTGGGGAGTGGGGAGAGAAGGAGGAGGTTGGGGGTGAAGGTGGAGGGTGTTGGGAGTTTTGGGGGTGGGGGAGGAGTTTGGGGATAGGGGAGGGTATTGGGGTAGGGGGTATTGGGCAGGAGGGTGTTGGGTGGGAGGGGGAGAGGAGGGTGTTTGGAGTTGGTGGTGAGGGTGTTTTGGTGATGGTGTTGAAGATGGTGAGAGGTAGGGGTAAACATGATCATGATAGTTGATAGCAGTAGAAATGTTTGATATTCTCTCTCTCTCTCTCTCTCTTCTCTCTCTCTCTCCTTCATCCTCTCCTACTTCTCTTCCCCTTAAACCTCCTCTCCCCTCCTCTTCCCTTCCCTTTTCCTCCCGTCCTTCCCCATTCTTTATCCTCCTTCCCTCTCCCCTTCCTTTTTTCTTACTCCACCCTCTCACTCTTCCAGCAGAGTCTCAGTGGCACTTACATTGGCACCCAGACACGCAGGCATCGCAGGTGGCACGCAAAATAGAAGTCATTGTCAGCAATGGATGTCAGCAATGGGTGTCAGTAGTAGATATCAGCAATGGGTGTCAGTAGTACATGTCAGGAGCAACTATCCACAGCGAATGTCAGCTGCAAATATCAGCAGCAGACGTCAGTAACATGTATCCACAGCGGATGTCAGCAGTCAATAGCAACTACGGATGTCAGCAGCATCTATCTACACTAGATGTCAGCAGTAGATATCAACTACGGCTGTCAGCAGGAGACATCGACTACAGAAATCAGCAACAAGTATCCACAGCGGACGTCAGCAACAGACATCAACCACGCCTGATAGCACCATATGTCAGCACCATCATCCTCTCCTAGAACCTCCTTAATCATTGGTTCCCCAACTTTTCTATCCTGATTCCCCTGCCATCTTTACGGAGTCAGTTATTGCTAGTTATGAACAGGGCAATGGTGCCAATAGCTATAGACTAAAGGACACTATATGGAAAGATTTCAGTTCATTGACACGTGAGAAATAATTATATGAAGGTACTATAGGCGAGACAAAATTCATTTAAATTCGGTCGTAATTTGCATACTGCTCCATGGCTCCCCGGGAAGCATCCCATGGCTCCCAGGTTGGAAATCTCTGTTCTAGGAACCTTCGACTATATCTATTTCTAGGACATAATTATCGATCAGGTGTTAGTACAACGGGGGGGGGGGGGGTTGCGTAAGGGTATTGGGTCCAGGGTAGGGTTTCTGAGGAGAAAGTAGGAGGACTGTGGAGGAGGTGAGGAAGAAGTAGCAAAAGCGGAGAGAGGGAAGAAGAGGAAGGAAGAGAGAGAAGGGAAGAGAAGGGAGGGGAGGAGAGGGAAGGAAGGAAGGAGAGAGAGAGGGAAGAGGGGAAGGGAGGAGAGAGAGGGAAGAAAAGGAGAGGGAGGGAGAAGAGAGGGGCAAAGGGAAGAAGGGAGAGGAGGGGGAAGGGGAGGGAGGGAAGAGAGAGGGAAGGAAGGGGAAGAGGGGACATTAGGAAGGAGAAAGGAGGTGACGAGAAGACGTAGGGTAGAGGATTGAGTATAGGATCCAGGAAGAGGACTAGGACTACTGGGCGTCAGTAGGTCTAGCGAAGGGAGGGAGAAGGGGGGAGGGTGGCACTCTACACTCACCTCGCGTCCCACCGTGTCGTAACGAGGCATTCAGGAAAGGTAATCAAATTCCGAGCAACATTAATGCAATGATGGATAATTAAGAAGCTTATTGGGCAGATTTTTTTCTTTTTTTTTTGGGGGGGTGGCTGCTTTTTTGGGGGTGGGGGGGTGGGGGGCAGATTTTTTCCATTTTTTTTTTATAATTCCACGTGGTTCCTAGACGTCTGTGCGATGGATAACGGTGTGAATGTATTATGGATATTGTCTTGTGTCTCTGAATGATTTCTTTGTCTGTCTGTCACCTGGTCTCAGTTTCATTCTTTGTTTGCATGGCTTTTCTTTGTCTAATTGCATGGCTGTCTGCGCGTCTCTCTCTTTAATTATCTTTCCCTCAACCATTCTCTGTCTGTCTGTCTGTCTGTGCACACACGCACACACACACACACACACACACACAATATACATATATATATATATATTATATAATATATATATATATATAATATTATATGTATATATATATACATATATATATATATATATATATATATATATATATATATATACATATATATATATATATAATATTATATTATATATATATATATATATATATATATATATGTATATATATATATATATATATAGTATATATATATATATATATATTATATATATATATATATATAAAGAAGAGAAGAGAGAGGTGAGAGAGATAGAACGAGGGATAACGAGAGAGAGAGATAGAAGAGAGATAAGAGAGAGAAGAAGATAGCGAGAGAGAGATAGAACGAGAGAGAGAGAGAGAGAGAGAGAGAGAGAGAGAGAGAGAGAGAGAGAGAGAGAGACAGGAGAGAGAGAGAGAATTTCTATCCACCCATCTATCCACCAATCCATCCATCAAACCCTCCTCCAATCCCCTATTCCTCAACTCTCCTACATCACACAACACACACACCCCACCAACGCAACACACCCGTGAACTACGAGAGGGCTCTTTTCCCTCGCTGCCAGACGCCCGAAGCCGACCTTTCCGCTTCGAGCAACAAGTGAATCGACGACGCGAGGCATCCCGAGGCTTGAGAGCGCTGGTTTGAGTATTCGCGAACCCGGTTGGAATAAGCAGAGTCGGGCGAAAGAGCTGCTGAAAAGGCGGAGATAAAAGAAAAAAAAAAAGGTTTCTATTGGGAGTTTGAAGTGCTCGCTGTTTTTTTTTTTTTTTCTTTTACTTATACTTTTTATGTTGTTATTTCCAAAGTTTTTGTTGGTGTCATTTTCGTTCCTTTTATTTTGTTTATCTTCATTTATTTCATTTTATTCTTCTTCTTTTGTTCTTTTTTCGAATAAAACAAGAGCGAGCGAGAGAGAAAAGAAAAGAAAAAGTGAAAAAAAAAGCAGAGAGAAAGAGAAACAGAAAGCCTGAGACAAAAAAGGAAGAACGAAAGAAAGAAAGGGAGATGGGCACTTCCTCTCTCTCTCTCTCTCTCTCTTGCTCTCGTCTCTCTCTCTCTCTCTCCTCTCTCTCTCTCTCTCGTCTCTCTCTCTCTCTCTCTCTCTCTCCCTCCTCCCCTCTCTTGCTCTCCCTCCGCTCTCTCTCTCTCTTCTCTCTCTCCTGTCTCTCTCTCAATCTCTCTGCTCTCTCTCTCTCTCTCCTTCTCTCTCTCTCTCTCTCGGTCTCTCTCTCTCTCTCTTCTCTCTCGTCCTCCCTTCCCTTCGCTTCCCCACTCTGCTCTCTCCTCTTCTCTCTCTCCGTCTCTCTCATCTCCTCCTCTCTCTCTCTCTCTCTCTTCCGTCTCTCTCTCCTCTCTTCGTCCTCTCTCCTCCCTCCCTTTCCCGTCCCGCCTGCTTCTCTCGGTTTCGTCTCTCTCTCTTCTCTCTTCTCCTCTCTTTCTCTCTCTCTCTCTCTCTCTCTCTCTCTCTCTTCTCTCTCTCTCGGTCTCTCCTCCCTTTTGGGCGCCTCCTTGGCCCCTACGCACCCACTCTCTGTCTCGGTCTCTCTCCCTCTCTCTCTATCGTCTCTTCTCGTCTCTCTCGGTCAGAGGGGTCACGTTGATCCCGTCGATTGGGGCGTCTGTGCTCGTCTCCGGTCGTCGTCCTCAAGGGCGCCCTCTCTCGGTCCCTCGTGGCGGCCCCATCGGTCTCTCTGCTTCCTTTTCACGCTCTGACGGCACTTCCTCTCCTTCGCCACTCCTCTCTCTTCTCCCTCTCCATCTCTCTCTTCTCTCTTCTCTCTCTCTCTCCCTCTCCTTCCCCCGCGACTCTCTCTCTCTCTCTCTCTCTCTTCTCTCCTTCTCTCTCTCTCTCTCTCTCTCTCTCTCTCTTCTTCTCTCTCCTCTCTCTCATCTCTCTCTCTCTATCCCTTCTCCATCTCCGCACGCATCTCCTCTCTCGTCTCCTCTCTTCTCTCACTCTCTCTCTCTCTCTCTCTTCTCTCTCTCTCCTCTCTCTTCCTCTCGCTCTCTCTCTCTCTACTCCCTCCATCCTCCTTCCCTCCCTCCCTCTCGTCTCTCTATCTGTCTCTCCTCCTTTCTCTCTCTTTCGTGGGCTCGTATTCGACAAAAAGCACGAAATACAAACGCACACACGAAGACCGATATACTGTTCTCATTTGCCCCAAAAAGTAAATATAATTATCTTTCGCCTCCCCCCCCCCTCTTGCTCCCTTCCCTCCCGCTCCCATTCCCCCATCATACCCGTCCTTTAACGTCTAACCCCTTCCTTAGATTCCCCTCTCCCTCCCTCCTCTAATCTCCCTCCCTCACACCCCTCTCCCTACCCGCCTCTCCTCCACCGTCCTCTACCCTTCTCTCCCTCCCTTCCAGCCGCTCATCTTCCCCTCCACACACCCAACCCTCTTCCGTCACACCTCCCCCCTCCCCTCTCCTGGTAATTATCTCTGCTAGACGAACCCAATCTCCGTACCTCCCCCCTCCCCTCACGCTCTCACCCCTGCGCCACTTTTGTCTTGAATCACACACCCTTGTAGTTCTGATTTGAGGAGAGGAGAGAGGGAGAGAGGGAGAGGGGGAGAGTAGGAGAGGAAGAGTGAGAGGAAGAGGAGGGCGGGGAAGGAAGGAAGGAGGGAGGAGATTAAGGAGGGAGGGAGGGAGATAAGGAGGGAGGGCGGGTAGGTGAGGAGGGAGGGAAGGGAGAAGAAGGAGGGAAGGAGGGAGGGGGGAGAAGGGAGGGAGGGAGAAGGGAGAGAAGGTGAGAGAGAGAGATTGAGAGACGAGAGAGAGGCCGAGAGAGAGAGAGAAGAGAGAGAGAGAGAGAGAGAGAGAGCAGAGGAGAGCAGAGAGAGAGAGAGAGAGAGAAAGAGAAAGAGAAAGAGAATGAGATCGGGGAGAAAGAGAAAAGAGAGAAGAGAAAGAGAAAAGAGAAAGAGGGAGGGGAAAGAGAAAGAAAGAAGAGACAGAAAGAAAAAGAAAAGAAAACAGATGCAAGAACGAGAATGCAAATAGAATTATAATTCCAACACCTCCTGAGCATACATTAATCACCTCTTCCTGAAGTATACATCTGAAGGCGGCGTTTCGTTGTGTGTTCTGTCGTCTTTCTTTCGCAACAGGTCCGGCGTCCTTCTTCTCTCTTCCCTCTTCTGTCCTTTCTCGCATGCTCGTTCTGAATTTTCGGATGTTAATGGCTTCCTTAATAATAATAATAATATAGATAATGATAATAATATAATAATAATATACTAATAATAATTATATAATAATGAATAATAATATAATGTAATAATAATAATAATATACATAATAATAATAATATAATAATTAATAACAATAATAATAATAATAATGGATGATGGGGGAGAAGGGATGATGGTAATAATAATAATAAGGATAATAATAATAATAATAATAATAATGATAATAATAATAATAATAAATTAGAGAGGGATGATGATGATGGTAATATAACAATAGGTATAATAGTAAATAAATAATAATATAAATGACAATAATAGTAAATAAAAACAACAAAACAACAACAATAATAATATAATAATAATAATAATAATAATACAATAATTGATATAATAATAATAATAGATAATAATAATATATAATATTAGTAATAATAAATATAATAATAATAGATAATAATAATATAATAATAATAATAATAATAATAATAAGATAATAATACAACTCCCTGTTTACATCACACCACCCTTCTCTTCTTAATAAAAATCAAATAAAACAATAAAGGAAAAATAACCACCAAAATCTTTCATTACTTGAATGATCTGCTAACAACCAACTAACTCAACGCCACCCAAAACAAACCCCCTTGGCTGCGGTAATAAAACAGGTCTAAACAAATGTTTTCAACCACAGGTAAACAGACAGACAAAGAGGATATTCCTTAATCCTCGTATCTAAACAGAAATGATTTGTTCTGTTTTTCATTCCATCAGCTGGTGTTATTCTCGTTGAAGTCAGAGTTGCTGCTGGGCTGAATCCTGTGCATGACCTCTGACGTCGTGTGATGTGTGTGTGTGAAGGCATAGCCGTTGACCGTTCTGGAGAGGACTGCAGTAGATAAAT